TAAAACCGATAACTTCATTGCAACTTTGTTTCCTCGGAGTTTAGGAGATATATGCCTGTAAGTACAGCTACACATGTTTTATGTTAAGCATGTTACAGTTTTTTTCAGTCGCTAACAAGCGTTTGTCCAAACAGTTGTCACATTTTCAAAACTCTAAACACAATTAGCCCAGCATCGGTCTTTTGTGGCCATACCATTCACACATTTCATGTCGTTTTCACCCAATATGCAATCAGTGAACACATTTCCACAATGCTTACATTTTCTTAACAGACAAGCTATACCTCCTGTGACGCTTACTCCTCGTCAACTCACAGGTATATTACCTTTATACCTATGGCTGGGGTTCGTTCTGGCTTTGTGATTAATAAGGAGGCAGGCGATAGTTATTAAGATAGAACCATATATTTACTCCCCTTATTACAGTACAAACTTCCCCGGCTCGCACTACACTTTTCCTCCTGCTTCCCCGGCTCCCGCCCAACTCAATTCCCTCTCTCCTCCGCCCCTCATCTCACCCTTCCACTCCATCCGCCAGCTCAGAAAAGTAGACCCACTTCCCCATCAACATAGCCAAATTACACTCTTACATATACTCTCCTACCCACAAAGAAATGTCCTCATTTCAAAAAACATAAAGAAATAAAAACAAATAAAGAAATCAAGGGAGAGAACAGTGCCAAAGATGCACTCACAGAAGGGGACAAGAGTGACAAGGTGGCAACACAGTACTGGCAGTCCTAGGAACAACAGCCCAACAGGAACCAGCCAAAACAAAGGCCGTGGTGTCATCGCCCTGGGGTAAACGAAGGGTAAGGAACATCCGCCCATCGAGCAGAACCCCCAAACATAACGCCCAAAGCAGTCAGAGATACAATACAGGAGTGTTGAGTTCTGTCAATACAGCTCGAAGTCACGAAGATGGCTCGGCAGGCGGGTCGTCCGGCGAGGGAGAGTCAATGAGGACTGCGACGTAGGCGTTAGGTCCCCGGCCTCCGATGACACGTCTGCTGCGCGCAGAGCAGCACAGCAGGCACAGGGTCCACTCCTGGGGCCAGTCCCGTGGGACGTACCAGTGGCATCAGGCAGGGAGGTGGTGGCACCGGTGACAGGCCAAAGCCATGTGTGTCTGATGCAGTAGGTGGGGGAGAGGTTTGGGTCGTGGTACTGTCTGTTTGTGGAGGGGATGTAGGAAACTGAGGTGACTGAGGGTAGGGCAACGGCCACAAGGGGCAACGTAACCCCGAATCAACAGGTTGGCTGGGTGGCATAAATGTAGTGAAAGGGTCAGCAGATGGAACGGAGTTGGGGCTGGTGTGATAAGGTTTGAGACGGTTGTAATGTAAAACCTTTGGTGTGCTATTCGGCCGAGAGGGATTACGGATTTGGAAATTGACAGGGGGGAATCCATCCCTAACGGGCATGGCGCGTAACACCACATAGGGCCCAACCCAGCGGGGCGCAAGCTTATTGCGACGGTGCGCCGGGTCATCAACCAACACCAGATCACCGGCCTTGTATGGGACATATCTCAAGTGTCGGTCGTAGTGCTGCTGCTGAGAGGCCTGAGCCTTATCCCTAAATGCCGAAGCTGCACGATAAGCCTGGTCCAACCGGCGACGAAGAGAGGACACATACGCCGCAGGGGTACCAGGTGTGGCAGCGGTCAGAGGACTGTGTGTCTGAAACGCGTCAATAGGG